CTATGAGTAGGATAGATTCATGATGACTAAGGAAAGCATAGTTCCCCTATGCATCATTACCTATTTCTATGCATATAAAGTATATGATTTATGAAGTTATGAACATGTGTTCCTAAAGGTGTTTATGTGAAGGTAGATCTCACATATATGTGTACACACACACATGCGTGTATGAATATGATATGATTATGTGAAAGAAAATTCTCACAAAAGGTAGGCTCTATGGTGAATGTAGCATTCTCACCCTAGATACCTTTGATCTGTATAATATATGAGGGAGTAAGTCCTTAAGACCTATTCTTTATGAAATAATGGTATCTAAAGTATTAATGATATTTAAAAAAGGGAGTTATTTCTTAGCACCAAGTGAACATGAAAAATTAGAGTGGGGGCTTCACGTTAATAAGTCTGACCTCCCACATGGGTTTCTTCATGACTAGTAGTGTGGGTTCCTAATATATGTGTTGTCTCATGAGATAGAAACCTTCGTGCTTAGGTAGTCAAGGTTTCTAGAAGCAATATCTTTGTTCCATAACAATGTGCCTACATAGGACTCTAGCTTAGTGGACCCACCTAGAATAGCTATTTTCGAATGGTTGCACCTTCGGCAAGTGTTAACCCTCTCTTTTTGGTGTGAGAGTATAACACCGAATTCTATGTAGCTCAAATGGTCTATGTTTGATATGGCTATATCTCCCGAATGTTAATAACTTATCTAAGATAAGAATATGAATTCTAATCCAAATTCCTTTAGAAGTGTACTTGGTATAGAAGGACTATGGACCCTACCTATACATTGCGCTAGATACTTCAAGAAAGGATAGGATTTGAGACCTTTATGAAGCAAATACTTATGTTAATATGACTTGTATGAATGTATATTAAGTGACCTTGTTATGTTAATATATGAATTATGACTATGCGTGTGAGTTACGCTTATGATTTCTAAATGAGTGTACTTAGTATATGTGTGGGTATGGGACTCCATGTATACATTGAACAAGTAATATTGTGAAGGGGTTCTGAGGGTACTTTACCTATTATGAACTGAATGATTTATGACTAAGGTTGTAGAAACGTAAAGAGTCTTTATATGTTTGTATGAAGTATGTGGCCTTATTTCTAGTTGTAAATTAATATGTTATGACTTGATTGATTATGTTATGACTTGCTGAATATGTTATGCCTAGTCTAGGGTGACTTCTTAGGTACACGTGGTGGAAGTAGCATTTTGGATGTACTTAGTTCTCTTATACTTTTTCTTAAACTCCTCATTACTTCCTCAAAATTCAGTTTAAACAGTAATATTTTGTTTAAAAGATTCTCAATGAGAAGTCAATGAATACTCAAGAATAAGGTTCATGCTAAAATTAGACATGAATGAATCAACTGAAGGATATCAATAACAATATAGAAAATTCAATGATCAAATTTCAAGAACTCATAACTCAACGACATTCCTCATCTCAAGAATACTCAAATTATAGAGTTCATGCTGAAATATAGACATGAGCCAGAAAACTCAAGAATCACAATGCATAACATATAGGAATTTAATAATTAGGAATAATATTTCCAAAAGAATCAGGAACTCAAGAACTCAATATCAACTAATCTCTAGAAACTAAAATTAAGGATAGAATCCCACATTACCCTTTTATTGATTTGAAAGTAAATTTATGGAATGTAGAAGAACTAGTCTAACACTATGTTTGCAAGAACGAGGTTTTTTGGCAAAATTGACGTAACTCGAAGAACACTTGAACCCTAGTATTTCTTATCTTGGAACCTCGTTTTAATATCTTGAAGTGTTAATTATCGTAAAAGAGTTGATTAACACTTTTAAGCCCTTAATTAGGTGTAAAACACCGTGGTTTAGGCTTAGAATATGGGTTAAAATGTTGTAGTTTAAATTCCAAATGTATAGGACAAAGACCAAAATGACCCCAACTTTTAAATTTGACAAAATACCTTAAAAGGGAGGTTTCACAGACCGTTAAGGTATCCTGGTCCGTGAAATTTCATGGGCCGTATTGATGGTCGTTAAACATCACTTGGCCGACAATGCTTCTCTAAATCAGACATAACTTTTTTTCGAAACTCAAAATGAGGAAAAATTTGATAGTTTTTGAAGGATTCAAAGACCTTTATGTTAATAAGTCATGGACCACCTAATTCATTATGTGATGAGAGATATGATTGTTTGAAGTTGACTCAAAATATAAGAATTGATGGGTGACTGGTATGGACCCCCAAAAGGGCAGTACAAGCCACCACGGGCCGCCTAGGGTCCCGTCCAGGTGACCCCCTCCTTGTCAGCCTTTGATGGTTGGTCACATTGACCTAAACGAGTCTTGGTCCCCTAAATGGTCCGTATAGGGAGTCATGAAGGGTCCATGGTCCATTATGGGTTCGTGGACTTTTAAGTTAACCCTCTTTAGCCTTTCTCAATGTTTGAAGTGCTAGATGAACAATTATAATTTTAAGTGTAGAGGTTTGTGGTGTTATAGAATGATTTGTTATTCATCTTGTATTTCAAACATACTTAGAACAAACCTTTGCACATCTTTGTAAGACAACAAAGTTCAAGAACATTTTCACTACTAGAAAATTAAAGCTATAGCGCAAACAAGAATCATAAACAGATTTTTTAAAAAAATATATGAAATATTTTTCTTAGAGAAGAATTATTGTTAATGTGTGTAAAGAATCTCACTGATTCCAACAAACTTTGCAGAAACACGAAGTTACCAAGTTTAATGAACCAGTGAAGAACAAAAGAATAGAAGAACTGAAATTAATTCACAATTCTAAAATTTGTAAAACACGTAATAGAATCTGGAAATTTTTTAATAGGAAAAAGATCAAGTCCATTGAAATCACAGTGTCCCCTTAAGGAAATTGTTCCCCTCTAGAATCCGGGGTTCGATTTGGAATATGACCTCCCAGAGTAAAATGATCTCAATCACCAGAGTATAGATACAAAAAACTCCTATGTCAGCGAACCACTCAACGACAATAAAGTACACTTAGAATACTAGATTTAATAGTTGAAGAAGAAGTCCATGAGTTCTATATTAAAATGAGAGGAAATCCCTTAATTTATAGAAAAAGGGTAGTACAAAAAGGTTCTTATTGTGCCTTATCGGAAAATCACAAACCTTTGGAAAAGTCACAATCTTTCAGAAAGGTCGTTACCTTTCATAAAAGTCACAACTGTCCATAAAAATCACAACTTTTCATAAAAGTCGCAACTTTTCATAAAATCCACAACTTTTCATAAAAGTCGCAACATTTCATAAAAGTCACAACTCTTTATAAAAGTCGCAACTCTTTATTTTCCATTCACACCTTTTTAAAACCCAACATGATTCGAGTCTGATCTTAGAAAATTTTGATGTATTACAGTCACATCAGGTTATAATTGATACCTAAATTGATTCAACTAACTACCATTTTTGTTTTGGAAATTCAATTTTCTATTTTTCTTTTGGTCGATGGCCCATTTTCCAAAAGGATAAATCAAAAATGTTTTTAAATTTAAGCCTTTATTTCCTCTTTTAATTAGAAACTAACCCCACTACATCCCTAATCATCCAATTACGTTTTAGATATTTACAAATAGCTTCCCACTTCTTCATTTCCTCCCTTTTCTGTATGAAATTGCTATCAATCATTAACTCTAGTAATTTTTAGTTTTATTATGTTAAACTTTCAACATTTACATGGATAATCCTCCTTTTCCTCGAAGATGAGGAAAAAAAGTCTAGTGTGATTATACTGTAAGCTACTAAGTGAAGATATGATTCAGTGTCTACATTAATTATAGTGAAGCATATAACCAAAAATTTGCATTGAAATATAGTGTGGATATTGTTTTGTTTTGCAAACACATAGACACTCAAATGTAAATCTTTCTTAAAATTTGAATTTGTATTTGAATTTGAATTTCTGTATGATTACTTGTTTGTTGAAGTCAAATGATCGAATTTCATCTCAATCTATGAGGATGAATGTATACACTAAAACCCTGAATAAAATAAAGTTTTTGATCCAATTTGATTCAGTTTATAGAGAATACCCGATAATCCTTGAACTACCAAACATGAATAATTGGGGTTTTTAGGAGTATGCATTGGGTTCTTGTGTTTTAAAAAATAAGTCAAAGTATTTTTTTTTCATGTTAAGCGAATACTCCTATTTACTAGATATAATATAACAATAAATCATTACAAACAGAGATGGCGACATTAATATTTGGCTTAAAGAACTACAAATCAAATTGCATGATGACCTTTTGAGCCTAGAAAGAGTAATTCATTCTTTGTCTACTTTTGAGATTCTTAACAAAAATAATATCGGGTCTATTAATTTGGAAGCCAGAGAAGGCGGTGAGGGGAAATGAGAAGTCCATAATTAGGAAACCCTGCATTTGTTAGATTTATAGGCTTACCGAGTGGGTCTATCATGTTATATTTGTTGTCCTTTTTAGTGTTGACACTCAATTTTGTCCCTCTGCTAATTTATTATTTTTCAAGCTTCTTGAATTTCAAACAATTTGAAGTAATTATTTTGAAAAAAATCAAAAATACTTAGTTTTATGGTGATTTTCCGTTTTCTTTTCCTATAAAATATATTTCTATATACTTGAAATATATAGATTTATATAGTTTACAATATATATTTAGAAAATTGTTTTACTAAAATGGTGTTTTAACTAAGTTAGAATTTTTTTTTTTAAAAAAACTAATAATAATTAAAACCTTATGTCAAGATGATTGTTTTACTTTGTCTGAATTAAGAGAGTTAATAATTAATTGAAAGCATAATTCATTTTGTTTTAATTTTTTTTCATCTTATCATTTTCAAGACCAGGGGTCTTTTTTCCGTTGAAATTAAATTGGGCCTTAGCTTTTCAATGCAAACAAAAGAAAACCCAAATTCTTGGCCCAATTCACAAGACCTGGCCCAAATAACCCCTTCACTACTCTGCTCTCAATTTCCCTCATCCAAAAATAACACATCCGCAGCCTCAACAATGTCAACCCAGAACAAGGGCGAAACCAGAAACTCCAGCAGTACGCGACTCGTCCAAAACAGTCACGCAGTGCGCCCATCGAATTGAGTCTCGCACGTGTCTCTCTCCCTCGACCTGATCCTCTTGAAAGTTGGAGTACAAGGCCAGGTGTCTCCATCTCCTTACAAGCTCGTTCTTGGCTCAAAATCGGACGACTCTCCCCTCTTTTCTATTTAAAAATGGTATGAATTCGTACACCCTCCAGCTCACCCACCCTTATCTTTGCTGATTTTTGAATTTGGGATTCTCCCACATAGTGTCTAACAAGAATTTCCCCCAAATCTCTCTTATATAAATCCCTTTCTTTTCACTGTTCAGAGGAGGATTTTCGGAGACCAAAGAATACCCAAAAACTTTTTGGAATTCTTGGTTCCACAATTCAAATTTTAAAACATTTTGTGGCTTTTTGAGTTAAAGAGGTGGAATCGATTCCAAACTCGTTGTCCCGATTTGCTGCTCAGCACAAAGTAATCACGTATATTTTCCTTCTTGCTAGTTTAATTTAATTTTCTCTGATTAGATTTTGCATTATGAAGGGTTTTCGTCTGCATATTTTTTAGTTATCTTGTTGGCTTCTTGTCTTCATAATATGATTGGTAGTTTAGCGTTTTCAATATATTAGATTGTCTGTGATTGATTATATCCACAAAAACTTGCAGATTTTCTTCAACTCTATTAAAAAATTAGAATACCCCTTTTGTTTGATTGTCAATATTTACATTAAGTTAAAATTAGAATACCCCTTTTGTTTTATTGTCAATATTCACAGTAAGTTGTGGATGATTAATGTTCAAGTTTGTCACTTTCATCTCAGAACATGTTCTGTAGCTTTAAAAAAAATAATCCTTTCATTTCATGGTCTCGCCTCTTTCACTTCCCACGTCGTTTTATCCCTCTGATGGCATTATTCTATCTCCTTATTTGAGAAATTTGGTTTGAGATGATTAGCTTTTCGTAGTTGTGTTGCTTCTATGGTTGTTGTTTAAATTATGGTTGGACTGGTATCATACGGATCATCTCTATTTCACTCTCCTGTTACATGATCGTTCTGACAAGTTTATTGTGCTTACATTTAAGTGTTAGTTGGGTGTAAATGGAGCCTGTAGGAGTTTGTTTGGACTGTTATTACTGTTTGAATTAGTTTTCTTGTTGTTTCATTGTTTGTTTAAATTATGATCAGTTGGCGACTGAAAGGGTGCAAAACTCTATGTTCAATAACCTTTGTGCCTGTTCTGTGTAATTGTTTAAGTTAGAGTATGACATTCATAATTATTTCCATTGCAATTCGTTACTTGCTCAAATTTCTTAGCAACACCATGTAGTTAGGATGACTACGGTTAAGTTCCTTTATTAGTTTTAAGAAATCATATTTTATTACTTTAAAAATATTGTTCACTGTGTTTTGGATTTTTTACATGATGATAACTAGATCGTTAATTTGACTTGATATTATTCATACTGAGGTTCTTATTTTACTCTTTTCTTTTCCTCCTTTTGCATGAACACGCTTTCCGTGAATGAGTCCAATGGACTCCCCTCTCTTGCATTTTCCTCTTTTTGAGTCAACCTTCTTCGGAGTTGTGAAAGGGAGCTAATATTATTTGTTTAGACACCCAAAAATACAGCAGCAGCAGTAGCCTAAATGGCTAAAAGAATAGCATTTTATCGTACTTGAAAAGTCCCAAAAATTGCACTAATTGAGGCAGAGTTACGATAACCTCAAAAGGCTGAAAATGAGGAGCAAATTTGGGTTAAAATGCCTAATTAATGAAGCAGTAGCCGCAGCCTTAGAAAGGCTAAATTTTTTTTGAAAGTTTTGGACTTTCAAAAGTCCAAGCTAAACGACAGCGGCATCGACCTGAAGGGCTGGGACTTGGGGGTGAAATAAAATTTCAGTCGCCCCCTTGTTTTCTTATTCTCTTATTTGCCTTGATATTAGTATATTTTCTTTATTATATTTGATTGTGAAAAACTAACAACTTTAAAATTCTCTTCTTGACTTAGATAAAACCGCCATGGAGCTCCTCGAGTTTATTTTATCAAATCTTTCTTTTGTATCTTACAATTGGTGGCATTTCAAATTTTCATTTATTCTTCAAACCCTTTTTATGTTTGATAATTTAAGCTTATAGAATGACTTGAGAACATTTTGTGTTCTTTCATAGTTGTTAAAAAGCTTTGAATCCATGTTTTGAGTTTGAATTAACAATTTAATTCCTTTTTTTGAGCTGAATGAAATTGTCAATTTTCTTAAAAAATATATATATATAAATAAGTTGTCTTATAATTTAACTTAAGACTTCGTATGAATGACATAAGGTTTCTATATCCTTTCACAGTTGTTAAACAAAGTTCCTTAATCCATAATTAGGAGTTTTGAATTATTCATATTGGTTCTAAACATGAACATGGGTAAAAGTTTAAGTTAGGCAATTTGAGCTTCAAGAATAATTTGAGAATTATTCAATATCCTTTCATAGTTAGTATTTAGTTTTCAAATTCATGCTTAAGTTATTGTGTTGATTTTTCAACTGTAAAACTTTACCTCGGATAAAATGTTAAGTAGAAATTATTATTTTACAGTATAGCATTTGACTTATTTCATACTTGGAATTGGAGTTGTCAATATGGGCTAGCCCACACCATCCAGGCTAATCCATATAGGCTTTGACATTTTAGGGGTCAGGTCGCGCTAGCCCATTTTTGGCGTGGGGCAAAAATGGTCGACCCAACCCACAAGTATGTGGCTTGACGGGCCAGGCCACTTGTTTTTCAAAAATATTTTTTTTTATAGTTGCTAAATTAAGTTTCAAATTATAATTTAAAATATTGTCATAAATTTCGATAAAACAATATTACCTGATGTTAATGTTTGTACTTGTTAATTAAATCAAAATAAAATTATTTTTATAATATTTATAGAGATAATTTCAGAGACCTCCATGTTTCGCTCTTTAATACTCACCTCCCCTATGGTTTACGATATTACGTCTACCTCCCTTATTTTCATTTACTTGTAACCATTCTTTAAAATTATTTAAAATAAATATAAATTAATAAAGATTTGACAATTTTACTTTTTTTTTAAATAAATTTCTTCCAAATAAATATTATATAAAAAATAATTTATTTAACCTTTACCAATTCATGTAAATTTTTCCCCATAATCCATCATTTTGCGGCAACAATTTCTTCAAATAAAATACAAAATTAAACTACCCAAGAAAGAAATTCGATAAGAACGATAAGATTTTATTCTAGTTAAACAATTACACAGGCTAAGAAGAAACATGATCCAACGAATAAAGATAAATCATTGAAAATTAGATCTAAACATTCATATATAAGGGTAAATTTATCAAATGTAAATTAATTTATATTAATCTAAATAGGTTTAAAGAATGGTTACAAGAAAATAAAAATAAGGGAGGTAGACGTAATATCGTAAACCACAGGAAGGTGAGTGTTATAAAGCGAAGCCTGGAGGGAGGTCTCTGAAATTATCTTGAATTATAAATATAAATATATAAATAAAAATATTAACCTAATTATTTTGAATTTGGACTCTCTTAAATTTTAAAATTTTATATTATATTAATTATTTTTAATTAATTATTATTGGCCCACGGGCCTACCCTACCAATATTTCTCAAGCCCATCAAATCAACAGGCTTCTTCAGGCTGGGCTAAAACACCTTTTTATTAAATGGGCTTCAAAAATCTAAGTTCAACCCTATTAAATCTCGGCTTAGGCCAGGTCGGCCCAACGGACTTAGCCATATTGACGGATCTACTTGAAATAAGATTAGTGTACAAGTGTCAAAAAATGTAGTTATTTTAAAACAAGATTTTTTACAAGTAATCTATATTTTCTTTATAAAATTAGCCAAACTTTCAAATTTGTCGGTAAATCACATGTTTGCGGATTCTCTAAGATGCCTAAACCCTTCCTTAGAGGATTATTTGAACCCTTAGCCAAAAATCTGGTTTATTTAAATGTTTTTTCTTTAAAAAATTCATTTCGAATTGTTCTCTTAATTTTTACCTAAAAATTAAGTGGCGACTCTCAAGTTACAAATTATCCAAAAAAACTTTAACAAAAATTGCCGAAGGTACGAAATCGACTTTGAATGTTTCATTTTTCGAAATCGGATCGCAACATTTAGTTGTTTTCTTTTTGAATGTTAGGCTAAGTGTGGGTTGGGCCATGCTCACGCAAGTGTAAAGATTTGTAATTTGTTTTAGGTTTTTTAATAAAACACGAAATTAGCCTAAAGGGGTCTCTTTATTTAATTTCAAAATTTTTAGCACAAATAACGTTGGGTTTCTTTTTGCTTTCAAAGTTTTGGACACAAATAATGTGTCTTTTTACATGCTTTTGGAGTTTTAATACATATACCATATATTTTCTTTGTCTGCTTCTAGAGTTTTGAACACTAATAATTTAGGGTCTCTTTCTCTGCTATCAAATTTCTTAATACAAAAAATGTGAGGTTTTTGTTTGCTTTTGAAGTTTTAACACAAAAGATGTGGCTCTTTGCTTGCTTTCGGAGTTCTTAACACTGATAATGTGAATTCTCTTTATCTGCTTCTAGAGTATAACATTGATAATATGGGGGCTCTTTTTCTGCTTTAGGTATTATTAACTCAATAAAAGCGGAGTCTATCTAGTTTGGTAAAAAAGTTGATCTTCATTAGCTTATGGTTTAACGTTTCAGATTTCAATGGTTTAGTTGTTGTAAAATGGAAACATTAAATTTGCATGTTTTTAAAAAATAAAATTTGTAGAATAAATTTTATTGAGTATCATGACATTTTAGAATTTGATATAATACTAATTTTCTACACGTGCGTTGAACATGAATGCCTAATAATATAATAAACAATAATATAAAACAAATTTGTTTGGGTAAATAATTTTACATATATGAAGAATTAAAGTACAAGTTTTAATGAAAGATCATGGTGGATTGTCGTATTGTTACTCATTTGTTGAGGTCAAAATTATTGAATTTTTTCCGAACCTACAAGGATGAATTTTACACTTACACCCATTGTAAAATAAATTTTTTTTCATTTTATAGAAAATACACAAAAATCGTTGAACCGTCAAAGGTGGATAGTTTAAAATTTTGAAAGTGGGAGTAGGGGTTTTAGTATGTCCCAAAAAAACTTTATACTTTTTTATTAAAAACTACTCCAATTTATTTATTTATATAATATAACGTATCAGTTAAAAATTAAAGTGACCACATAAGTATTAGCATTGTTCTAGTCTACGTAAGCTTCCATAGTTTCTAAAATAAATAATGTGACTCTTTGCTTACTATTGATGTTTTTAACACAAATAGCATGTGTGTTTCTTAGTTTGATTCTACAGTTTCTAATACTGACAATATGAGTTATCTTTATATGCTTTTGATTTCTTAGTACAAATAAAAAGTTCGGGCTCTTCATTCTGCTAGTAAACTTTTTAACACAAATGATGTGTCTCTGTACTTGCTTTTGATTAATACAAAGAATACGGGTTCTCTTTGTCTGCTTTCGAAGCTTCTAACACTGATAACGGGAGGTTTCGTTCTGCAGAGTTTTTAATATAAAAAACGCGGGGTGCATCTGATTCTCAAAAAAGGATCTTAGTATAAATGTGACTCTAAGATATCATGCATAGGTTGTGGGTGGGTGGGTGAGGGGAGGTACTAATGCATTTTAGGTTGTGGGTGGGTGGGTGGGTGGGGGGGATGTACTTATGCATTTTATAAGATTTGCAAGGTTTTTAAAAAAAAATTAATCTCGTAAAATTAATTGTATAGAATATTTTGATATTTAAGCATTTAATATATTACTAGTTCTGAGCAACAGGACTCCTCCACCAGAGAGTTTCGGTCTGGAGCTCATTCTCAGTGCATGAATCGAAGGTGCATTGCACATGTATGAATAATAATGTAATGCACATTTTTATAAATAATATCAATATTATTACATAAAGTACTTTTGAGTAAATTCTTTTACATATATGATGAAGTAATATTTAAATTTTAAATAATGGCCAATGTGGATTATTGTATGGTTACTTGTTTGTTGAGATGAATGTCGCTGAATTCATCTAAACCTCAAAGACTAATAAAGTTCTCAATCCGATTTGATTCAATTTATAGATAGTAAAATAAAATTCATAAATGTCAAAATTTGATAGTTTGTGTTTTAAGGTGTTGTGGTTGTGGTTGTGGTGAAAGTAGGGGTGTAGTGTGGTGGTAGTGGTGGGGTTCTAGTTCTTTTTTGAAATAACTCAAAGTTTTTTTCTGGCTAAACAACTAATCATATTCCCTACATTTTATAATACTATTCATCATTACAAACATAGGTGGTCGCATTAATACTAGCATGAGACTATTCTGGCTTAAAGAATTAAAATCCCAAATTACATTACCACTTTTAAGACTAGTAAAAGTTACTTTGTGTGTTTTGAAATTTTTAACACAAATTATGTGGGGTCTCTTTGTCTGGTTTCAGAATTTTAGCTCAAATAATATGGGGTTCCTGTCTGCTTTCTAAGTGTACAGTACAATTAATGTTGCTCTAACTTGCTTTCAGAATTTTTAACAAAAATAATGTGGGTTCTCTTTATCTGCTTTAAAAATTTCTAGCACTATAACATGGAATAGGGTGTCTTTGTCTAGTTCTAGAGTTTTTAACACAATTGTTAGGTCTGTCTCTGCTTCTAAAGTTTTTAACACAAATAATTTGGTTGTTTGCTTGTTTTTTATGATAAAGAAAGCTCAGAATATTATAATAATAAAAAGAAGACAAGAAGTATAAGATAGAGGAGAGAAATTTTCTTATTCAAGTGTGTCTTTCAAATGGTGAGTGATTCTCTATTTAGTTGAGACATCACCCCAAAAGTCATCTAATTAATATACACATAATTTTTTTGGAAGTTCTTATCACCTTGGAAGCACCTATACATGAATTTAATTAATAGTGGATAAATATAATAAATAATCCACATGTACTATACAATGGATATATAACATTTTTGAATTTTTAACAATAATAATGTGTTTTTTTTTCTTCCAAACTTTTGAACGCTGCGAACATAGGGTCTCTTTATTTGATTTTGAAATCTTTTAATACAAAAATATGTTGGATCTGTCTAATTCACAAAAATGATGATCATAATTTAGCTT